ACGTACGTACGTACGTACGTACGTACTTAACGTAACTAACTACTATATAAACGCTATATAGTATTACGTTGCGTTTGGAGCATGTTAGAGCAAGCGACGCGAACAAATCTTATATGAATAGCGCCCATAGAATTCAGTGATTGTGGGAAATATTAAAAACGACGGACATGAACAGACGTCCCCGTCCGATATAGCTCTCTCTCTCTCTCTTTCTCTTCCTCAATAGACCGTCCTCATTCCTTCAAGGCTTACTTCAATATGTTATATAGCTCACAGCCTATTATCACCCCATAAAAGCATTACTTTTAGCCAATATTGTCACGCTCAAATTACTTTAAATATATAATGTTTGTAGCCGAAAAATTGAGATATATTGCATCGACACACAAAACTATTCAAAAGATTCCGCGCTCTTCCGTATTTCCGGCTATTTCTCGTGTTTCACTTGCATCCGCGCGACGGCGGCACTGCGTCGCGTCACGCAGTGCACGTCACAAATGTGCGTCGTGTATACATACATATGCATACGCAATCGCTTCTGACAAGATTTGAATCTCGCTTTCGAAGTCGCGTGCCGCGTTGCACCTCGTAAACGAAGCGTTGCGGCGTCGTGTTTTACGTTTCTTCGTGCAACGCGCGCGTTCCGGGAACATCACGTCGCCTGACATTGCATGTTTCAGTTCGACCTAGCAGCCGCTCGATCCTCAACTTGTGACTTATACCTAGGTGACTCCGTGCACCACGACTTTCTCCAACCTAATTTTAAAGGCGCACATCGTGTAATTGCCAGTCGAGAAAATCGCCGTGTTGTCGTCGACATCGTCTTTGGGACGAGAGGCCTTCACTGTCACAGGTAGAGCAGTCATGTTTGTTAGGTTAGCTCGCGGCACGACGCCGCGGCGTTTGATTGCGCTTAATCGGGTGGGGGCACTAATTAAAGAACGTGGATGGGGGAATCGCACACACGCATCGTTACCGTTAGCCAGCGAATTGTCCACGCGTGCTTTGTACTGGTTCCTGGGAAATTTCTCAGAATAAATTTATGCTTGTTTTCCAGCTGGACTATTATTTTGTAAAGAAGCTGCAGCTGTGTGCTCGTTTCATATATTACACTTTGTGTCAGCTGTTCAAATTTTTTTATGAGATAGAATTTGAAAAAAATTGCGAACATTGTTGCTTTATTGAATCAGGCAATACATATGTTTAGTCACTTGACATGTGTAATAGAATCAATGTAATGGAAATTAAAGAATACACTAAATTATGTCTGTTATTTTACAGTTAAATCCTTTGATACAAAATGGGTAGTAGCAGCCAGCTCTATAGTCTTTCTTGGGGAGAATTCAGTTCTTCTCTGGCCTCTGCAGTACAGTTGTTGAGAGGACATGGCGATTTGGTGGATGTTACTTTAGCCGCTGGTGGTCGTAGTTTTCATGCTCATAAAATTGTTCTTTGTGCAGCCAGTCCATTTCTATTGGATTTATTAAAGGTTTTATCATTGGTCTATTTAGTGAGAATGTATAATTCGAAATGCCATAATATCGGACTACAATAAAATATTTTGTCCACAGAGCACACCATGCCAGCATCCAGTTGTTATGTTGGCAGGAATTGGTGCAGATGATTTGGAGTCTCTCTTAGAATTTGTATACAGAGGAGAAGTAAGCGTTGAGCCATCGCAGTTGCCTTCATTGCTTCAGGCCGCACATTGTCTATGCATTCATGGATTAACGCCACCAACTATATTGACAGAAGTACATTTCTGATAGATTTGAGCTAGTTGTGTTAAAAAAATGGAATGTAATTAATTTATATTTATGTTTAGAGCGGAGAAGAAGTTCCTGCATCAGCGATCCCAACGGGATCAGCAACGCCAACGGGAAATGATGGGTTATCAAGGACAGCACTTAATTCTTACTATCCATTGAAACGGAGAAAAAGGAGGAGAAAGTCGTCCACTTCCTCTGGAAAATGGCCCAGTAACACTACTGACAGTGAAAGTAGACCTTTGGATGATAACAACAGAACAATATCTTATGAAAACAAGGATGACGATACCACAGATCAAGCTGATGATGCAGGTAAAGTGAACAGTTTGCAAATATTTTATTTCTTGATAAATTTATTTTGTATCTTAAATAGGAAACACGAAGTGCAAAATAAGTTATATAACTAAGTTTGTAAATTTTCCTGATTTTGGAATATTTTGTAATAAGATTACATGACGAAGTTATTTATTTTGTTTTTTAATTAACATATTATTTATCAAACGAGAATTTTTCACTTTATTTAAAAATTTATCAATTAATTTTATTAATTATAAGATTATCACTTAAAACAACAAAGACATTTCACTTGTGTTTTGTGTCCGGTGTATTATTATGTTTAGTAAACTCATAAAACCTCTCATAGAACCATGTCAAATATCATTTACAAGAGACTCTGTACCTCTACGTAAGCTCTTTTTCATTAAAACGGACACAAGCACAACCATCAATCGGGTTGAACTGCAATTCTGATTGGTCGTCCTCCGATTTGTACGACTGAAAGAGGGAAAGCGAGAGCGAGAGAAATAAATTCAAGATAAGGGAACCAAAACAACGTCAGTTCAGCCCTGTATGGTAACATTGTGTTTGTGTCTGTTAACAGCCGACAACTGCCTGGTTGGAAACTACGCGAATCATCAGGGCGGCGGTCACTCGCCGCGGTCTCAAGAATCGTCCCTCGTGGATAATCATCAGGCAGCACATCAGGATCACGTTTCGGACGGCGAGTCGCATTTACACACGTTGATGCCGATGCAACCGTTCTCGTCGTTACATATACCGCAGTTCTCCTCCTCCCTCAACATGGGCTATTCACCCGGTTTGGCGTTGTCTGGGTTGGCGGCCAATCAGACAGTGTCGACCGGGACGCTAGTCGGAAGTGCGAATCAATCGAAATCACGCGGCGCTTCCGATTGTCCAGGCGTCTGTCCGCTTTGCGGTGCGACGTTACGCCAGGCGCGGAATCTGCGTAGGCACCTGATATCGTCCTGCAAATACCGGTTCAGCAACAACACGACGCCAGCGACGACAACGACGCCGCCACCGCATAATTCCGACATGATAACGGAGATCAAACATGAGGTAGAGCTGCCTGGCTACAACGATCAGTCGGTGACTTATGGGACCGACAGTGGCAGTAACAGTTGCGAACAGATAGTTTGCAAACCCAGTCTACCCTCGCCAACGTTGCACGGGCCTGAGAGCGTGGTCTCGCCACCGAGCAGCATCCCATCGCCGACGATTGCTAGATAAATGTATCGGGATAAATGAATACGGGTGTTTGTATCGATCATTTGTTTCGTAGCTAATTTTCTCGCGAAATCCATTTAGTTATCGGTTACATCATAACCATACAATACTGGGGATCGTGAATTTGTTGTACGCAGTGGCACACTCAGAATAATTTTTTTGGGGGGGGGGGGGGGGTTTAAAAATTCACACACAAAATGAAACAGTATGACCAAAAGTCAGGCTAATTTTATATTGCACACTAAAAAATATAAAAATGTTATACCGTTTACTAAAAAATATAATTTATTTTTATGGTAGCATAACTATAAATTGATATTGAGTTTTCTTGGTTTTTCTTAAATAATCAGATTAATTGGATTGTTTAAATAATCAAAAAATTTGTCTACATATATATATAGTTATATATATATGTTACATATGTTATATACGTTATATATATGTATATGGCTGCTAGATGTTTTTTAAGTTTCTTAAGTTTCTTAATTTATTTAAATCCTTTCACAATATGAATATCTTAAACTAGATTTTATATACGTTCGAACAGCAGTATAGCTGAAAAAGCTATCATAATTATTTGTGTGCAAGGATATTGGCGTGAATTTTGAATTATTAAAATTGAGACTATAGTTAATAACAGACAAAAAATACAAATGTTTGAACGCATTTTATTTAACTACAGATTTTTTACTTTTTGCTGTTAAGTTAATAAAAAAATAAGGTATATTAATTAAATTTCGGAGGGGGGTTTTAACCCCCCCCCCCCCCTTATGGGTATGCCACTGGTTGTACGATACAAGCATATGTAAGAATGGAGAAGATGATGAATATTACTTGTATAGCTCTATTATTCAATTATTTGAACGATTATTTGTAATTACTTGACTACGCGTTATTTAACTAAAATTCTGAGTATATTTGCACTATTAAGTTTATACACAAGAATCTTCCACATTAGTGTGTAAGGCAATACCGTAGGATTATACATGTAATTTTAAGTATAAAGGAGAAAGTCCTATTTGGGAGATGCGACATTCTCGTTATTCTTTTACCATCGACTTACGTGATAATTACGCGAGACTTGTACGTGCGCTCATACAATTCGACTTTATCTACTGCAATTTATTTTATTGTCCTTGTAATTTTTTTTGCTATAAAATGGTCTAATAACAGTACTAAGCAGTTTTTAAGTACATTGGCTATTGTTTACAAGTACTATTTTATGAAACTCAGAATCTTTCAATAGAGTCGTAAAGTGAAATAATCGGCGCACATTCCTATTTTGTACGACTGACTTTGTTGTATACGTGGACTGTTAACAGTACAATCGAACCTCCTAATCTTAACTCATTTGAAAGATTTAAAAAATTTTGTATTTGTCTTTATTTGTTTCATTTTATTCTTGTGTTTAATTTGTCTTTTTTTATCTTTTAGTTGCTTTTTCACGTTAACGTACTCTAACGTGGAAAAAACAAGAGAAGAAATTAAGATTACAGGGTACCAGCCGATTAAGAATAAAAAGCAGTTGAGAATAGAAAATGTTAAGAATAGAAGGATTCGGTTGTAGTGTATATACAAAACATTTTCATCGAAGAGAAAATAAGATAACATTATAATGTGTAATATCGAGTTTTTTTTTCTTTTGCAAATAAAGTATGTGATATATTACGTTGCGTTATTCTCCAAAAACAGCGATCATCTTACTAATCGTCTCAATTGTTATCCCATCTACATTTACCGTATTTGTCAGAACGAAATGGGAAGGCACAATGTCTGAGGCACGGCGATATATTCAGGGTCGCGGAACGTTTTAAATTTGTCTAGTCTTGATGGAATTCGTTCCAGGGGACGCATTGTCGAAGGCACGCAGTCTGTCCGATCAGCCGGCGTCTTGTCCATTGTGCGGTGCGATTCTGCGCCAGTCGAGAAATCTCAGAAGACACTTGGAGCTTTTGCACTTCGGTTTGGGCAACGGTAGCAAGTCGGGCATACACGCGAGACATCGACGAGCGGCGACGGACAGGGTCAATGATTTCGGCCTGTCGTCGTTGGCGTGCGTTCGTCCCACTGCTAGGATAGACTCGCACCTCGCCGCGAGGTCCACCGAGGCCTCAGACTTTCCCATGATGACGCCCTTGTCGATCACCTCGTCCGTCAGTTCCGCGTCGAGCGTCAGTCTTCCAGGTGAATCAAGAGCGAGTTACTCGAGTAAAATGTCATTACTCGACATTTAAAAAAAAAAATCTTATCTTGTCGCTTAAGTGTTACATGCAACTAGTTTTACCTCAAATTGCAAAACCAAATGCGTTTAAAGCTTATTCTATATAAAAAAAATTTTTACATATAAAAAAAAGCACATAAAAGTATAGTGTTCAAAATTAATATCGATCTGCGTCTATAAAAGTTTTATTTACTTTCTGTATAGAGATCTTTCTCATTATGTATGATGTGTTTAATAATTACTGCTAATAGACTCGTCATAAATCGTTGGTTCGATAGAGAAATGTCACACAATCGCATTAATATTTTAATATTATCCTTTATTACGATGTACGCGATATTGTCAAGGGATTAACGGATACGTTATCGCTTTAAAGCGATTACATCGCGAACATATTGGCGTGAATTGTAAGTCTCGCCTGTACGTGGATGTAAATTTTGTATCGTGTGACTATAAGCATTGATAATTATTAGTATTTTGCGAGAGTACGATTGCAATATATTTATTGCAATATATATTCGCTTGAAGCTTCATCATATATTGTGCTATCGCGGATTAATTCGTACGATATCAAATTTCATGTTTGTCTAAAAAACAAACTACTAAAAATACGTTAAAAATAATTTTGTTTAAAAATACTTTTATTTCTATAAAAATATTTTTTAAAAAATACTTTTATTTTTATAAAACAGTACCATCACAAATTTATGGTATGTAATATTATTGGTTTTAATCTCAATATGCTGATTAATAATATATTTAATTATTAACTTTATAATTATGCTTATACAATTTTTTTATAGTTTATAAAAAATATAGTCTATTTTTTAATCAACATTAAAGTAACAATGTATAAGCATTTTAATATAACAATATTTCTAAGATATTATTTTTCGTCATTATAAAGATTTCATTAATTTTAGAATTAGCTTCTAATTCTAATTTTAAAATTCGATCTCACACATATGCTCATTATAATAAGAATGTAAATATACAAAGGTGCCAAGAAAGAGATCTTGTTCTCTTGTAACATCAGCAAATTTAGATCTCTTCAATGTCCATAGGAAACTTGATGGCTCCGAGCTCGAGCCTGTTGGGTTCTGGCGATCAGAATGGGCATTCCTTGCCAGGATCCACCTCGAGTACATGCAGTGCGTCTATAGTACCTCCGGCCAATGGAATTTACTCTTCGGACAGCGGTGCCAGTATGCTGAGCTGCTTACTGCCATCATTGCCCACCTTGCCATCCTTCTCCGCGTCCCACGATGTGTTTCGACACGGCGAGATGTTTCGTGCGGGAATCGCGTACCATGATTCCTCTCGACAACACGCTAGACACATGCAGCGCACGGACATCACTTAACTTTGCGGCATGCAAAACGCTTCCTAAATGGTCCGCGATTTCATGCAAAAAGTGTGAACATGTCAGCTTGCATTGTAAACAAATTCGAAAATGACAGTATTAACAGAGCACTGAGTAGACTTTACAAAAAATGGAATATTTGCGTTTTTTAAGTTATTTTATAGAGAGATGAATATTTAATGCTATGTGGCGATCACGGATGTGAAAATTAAACCGACGAAGTAGCGATAAAAAATAGTGCAACGAATGCATAACAGAGCAATGTAGCAACGATGTGTAGTATTAGGAATTTTTTACTTGGTGCTATGTGTACATGAACTCAAATATATATGAAATATAAAATAATAAATTGTTTAGTAATAAAATGTTTGTTTCTTGCTTTTCCATAATGTAAATGCGAGAATTTTGCTTAAAAGGAGAGAAAGAAAGAAACTTTAACAAGAGTTTTATTTTTTATTTTATAATAAAATTATACTTACTTTTAGAGTATATCAATATACAATGTTTATTGAATATTATAATATATTAATATACAAAATCTATGGTTTTATTGAGAAAGAAGGCGAAAATTAAATATCATAAAGTCTCATAATTTTGTCAAGGAATGATATCGTTTTACTTGCTCGAGTGACAATTCGACTTTTTGTGCTATAATTACGGTTAATTACAGATTGTTTTTACAAATTGTCAAATATTATGTTAATTATTTTGAATCATTAGATGGCAATGCCATTGATAAGATTATCGAGTCGAAGAAAGGTACTTTTCCTTTTATGAACCTTGAATTCAGGAAGATCGGAGAAAAGGAGCTATAATACTCCTATCACTTACATCTTCTTCCCTAAAAAGTTCTTTTATCTTGTGTATCGACCATTCGCAACAATGCTTGAGATCATAATCACAGTCTTTGAAAGGTACAGTGATTTTTGAGATCATAATCAGATGATTAGATTCTTTTCTTCATAGGGTTCGCTATGTCCTAAAACAAATGGCCATTTTTTCTTGGATATCCAGTAGAGTTTCCCTTTTAAGAGCTTCAGAAGGTCATCAAAATATCGCAAATTGCGAACGTCTTGTAACAGTTTCGTTGTCTTATTTGACAAATCAATCGTTTTCTTTTCGTCGTCCTGTTAAATCCAGAATAAATGTATATATAAAATTATGTAATATTTGTTAGACCAAATTGATTTAATCAAATAATTTAACCAATTAATTTAATAGACCTTGCATTTTAGAATTCATATTTTACTGCATTGAAATCTTATATCTTAAAGAAATGATCAAGAAATCTAAAATATAAGATTTTAATGCATCTCGGTAAAGTTTTAGATCTACCAAATAATATGATATAAGATTCTAAAGCACAAAAATGAATAAAATGCACATTTTCATGTACATTCTGGATCATTTCTTTGTTTAAAATATAAAACTTTAATGCTAAGCAATAAAACTACTATCGAGATATTGATAACACGTATTTCTTAAGAGAGGATAAAAAAGAAAAAAAGACGAGAATGATGAAATATTTACCTGAAAGTTTGTACGTAAATCGCATATATCTCGATGGATTTCTTTATTGCCGAGACGCAACCGTTTTATTTTCTCACGAAGATGGTGCATCGCATTATTCGGATCTTTGGGAACCGCCGATGATACCTCTTCGTCCGTCTCTATAGCCAGAGCCAGTCTTGTTAAATTATCGTGATGGGACGTGCAATCGTCGAATCGATCATCTTCCTTTAAGAGGATTGTTGCCTTTTCAGGATGACTCTGAAGGCTTTCAAGGATAGACATCACTTCGTTAATAGCAGTACTTCGGTCCTGCAAATACGATTAATTTATACTGTTTTAGTCTTAACGGAAATTTGGGCAAATCGGCTTGTAAAGTCCCTTTTCGAACAAACTCTAAACTCTCGAAGAAAGTGCAATATATGTGCTACTTCTACTATAATCCGATTTAAAGTTAAATCAAAGTTTTACTTGATGTATTTGCTCGTACATGTTGCATATAATTATGAAATATTGTTGCAAAAATAAGAAAAGTAATATTCTTAAGCTTGTATCCATTTAAACACTATAATATACATGCAATAAATTAATATTAATATAATTCAATATTTTTGTCCAATTATAATTTCTTTAAAAAAATCTATATGTAATATTGATGTAATTATATACAATAATATTTAACAAAAAAGTGAAAAAATTGCATCCTTGCAAATTTTTGCATTCTTCTAATAATTTATTCTTTATCAATTATTTTCTTCGAATTTTTTGTTTAATAAAAAGTCAATGATTGATTTGATACAGGACTTTGTATAAAACAAGAAAACGTACGGTTGCAAAACTGCTGGTGTGACTTCTCGATGCGATCGCCAACTCGTCGCAAAGACTCATTGGTGTGTATTGCATGTCGCTCTGCGTCTCCAAACTCCAATCGTTACTTTGTATACCAGAAGTATCGTCCAGGGAGGATAAACAGTTGGTCAGGTTCTTGTAATTGTCTAAGGTGGAATTCAACCTGTCGTAGCTCGATCTGTTGCTGCTAAACGTCTCCGTATTTTGTATATTTTTTGATTTCATTGGTGTATTAAAATCATTGACGATGCATTGTTCGTTTCCGGAAATGAGTGAAGAAAATGCGCACGTCCTTACATCCGTGGGCGATATGTTCAGAAGTGTCCTTAACTGCGTTGCACCTGCATTCGTAATTTATGTATTTTACATATATATTTTTGTGATTGCATTTATTAAGTTTTGATAAAAAGCATTAAAAAATACAAAGATATCAAGAATTTGAGCTAAATAAAATATTTATCTTTATTAATTTAAAAGTATAATTAGAAGACTATAGAAGAGTTTGTATTAGCAGCAGTTAATTATAATCAACATTTTTCTCTTATATTTCTAATTTTTATTATTATCAAGAATATCTCCTTTGTTTTATTTTGACAAATCGACATTTACTGATATTTTATTACATTAGTCCTAATATAAACTTTTAAGTATTGAACAAATTAACAGCAAATTATTAAATAATTATTTTATTGATTACGTAGCATGATAAAATTTCTATCAATTCTGTATAATCTTGCGATGACATTAGTAAAATTCAAGTCATCGCTCTCGGAGCTGCTTCCATTAGCTTTTCTTCAGCTTCCATGGCAAACCCAATCGAGCTTCACCTCGGATCGAAGCTCTCTCAGGCCGTTAGCGCACCGGCAACAATGCTTGTGGCAGTTTTGCAATCTCACGCTACTCGGCATCTTTCGCAGGCGTACAAAGCTTACCGGGGATGAGGAAACGAAGTAAATCTGATACGTCAAGCAACTCGTTTCCGCGCATTGGTAAACCGCGAAACTTTATTAGGTCAGGTGCCATCGAGGTGGAGGAGGAGTTCTACAAAGTGGCTTTAACTGAGGGACAGTTCAAGGGACAAGCGCAACGGACTATTGATGCTTCCTGCGAACAATGAAAAAGAGCAGAAAAGAGAAATTTGTATCACCGTACCGATTTGCGTGGAATCCAACAGACCATTCAATCGTTTTCGACAACGCTGGTACTTTCGTTTATCATTCCCTTCCTCCGACATTAACTTCGCTTTTGAGAAAACAAAGTAAGGAGGAGACGGTGTGAGAATCCGGTACTTTTGCGATTTGATCAGCCTCTCCGGAGTATAAGCTCTGGGTTTGAATTCTTCTTTGACTTCGCATTCGTTGTTGTTTACGGTTGTGGGCGGATAGTTCTGCACGTTAATGATATTATTTATTAATTCTGCGTTTGTTCGGATCTCGATAAACCCTCGTGTATTACTGATGCTTTTTATAGTGTCGTATTAAAAATTTTATAATATTAACAATTGTAAGTAATATATAATTTAAAAAATGTTTAAATTGAAAATTATAAAAAATTGATATATTTTTATATAAATATTTTTATATAAATAATTTACGGTAAAACAATTCTACGGTTAAACGATAAGCGCTATATGTTATTACGGGCAAGCCGATATTGATCAGTCTTTGCATTTATTTATCTAATTAACTGATCTTGTAGTCTCATAGTCCGATAATGGGATTGGATATAATTCGCATAATACAAAACATGTACAAAAACGTGCAAAAGAACATAAAAATCCATGTTTTGTTAAGTAGAAGAAGTTCTAGAAATGCATATTGCACGTGAAATGCAACCACGTGCATACGAAGATGATGCGTAATTAGAATAAACTAACTCTCTATAGATAGAAAATACTGACAAGAAACTAGACTCGAGTGCAAAATTAAAGCACATTAATATTTATTAATTTAATAACATAATTTGATAATTCAATTGTAAGTACGAAAATAATAGCAATCACTTTCTTGCGTGTGCATAATGTATGTAATGTAACATTTCAAAATTAGAAATAAATTGATCCTTTTTTTATGTATTGCTTTATTGTTATTAAATTATTTGCATTATATTATTAAATTATTTTGCGTAATTTTTCAGAGAATAGAAAATTTATTCTCACATAAAAGTTTAATAAAATTAAAAAGTTTTAAAGTTGAAATATCTAATATAAATATTAATAAGTTGCACACTATATTTTTTCTATGATTTTTGCTTGTGGTTTTTATAAGTTATTTTTGAATTGCATTTGAAATTCATGCATGATATGTATGCTAAAATTTTATATTTTTTTCAAACAAGACAAAAAAATTGATTTAAAATTTATTATAAAATTTGGTATAAAACTTAAGCTTTAATGTTTTGAAGTATTTTATACACTAAACACTGATAAATAAGACTGCGCTCACCGTTTCATTGATAACATCTCTCTCGATCAGATCGATGTCCAAATCGTCCTGAAAAGAATTCAACTCCATTTTCATGTAAATTCCACTCTCCTGTTTCGACGCATCCTGTGAGAAACTGCAACTGTCCGAATCGTCGGACTTGATGCGAGATATTGATGCGGACAACTCGAATGTTCGATGATCCTTGTCGCGGTGTGATCCAGATGATAGCGCAATTTCCCGATCGTCGCCAAAATTCTCTTCCTCGTTCGGTGTAGACGAGTTGTATCTCGCGGCGGCTGCGGCGCCTTTTTTGTCCAAATAAAACATCGTCTGGCGATCCTTGACGCTTTCCAATCGACGTGGAGCACGTGTAGATTTTACCACGTTGAAAATTCCGCCTGCAAGAACGATAGATTGACGTGTGGAAGAAATCGAGTTTTGGAGTAATTCCCGCAAACAGGACGCACCTGAACGCGGTCGTATTTCGATTTGTGTATGATGAATTCACATGCCGATTTCTCGATAATAAATTCCATACATCTTGATTTGTCAATGACAAAGTTTGTGCTTCTTTCGTTTCTTTGACGATAAATCCGCGTTTCATGACCAACTTTTAGAAATTGAATATAACACAAAAGTACTTTATATATGCCGCACAATGTAATAGATAAGTAAGCATATGATAAGCCAGGAATGGCGAACCTTTTATGCTTATGTGCCAAAAAATAAAAAACATATATATAACAATGGATGACGGGTGTCAAAGAGTATTATTAAAAAAAATTAAAACAAAATTTTTATAAATTAAGAATAACATTCATTTTAACAATATTATAGCAATGCATACGTAATTTCAATATTTATTCAAATTTTAAAACTATTGTATTCAAATATTATTTTTAATTAGATAATTGAAAAAAATTAAAATAAAATTGATTTCACACAATAACTCTTTTGCGTATGAATAAAATTTTTTCGCCATAGGTTCGCCATACCTGTAATAAGCATTGTATCTAAATTTACATTAATTAAAAAAATTATTTAAAAATTAATATTACGAAGCAAGCAATTTTACAAAGCAATATTACGTTATTTCAGGAATATTCGCAATGCGGAATGTACATACATACGTGGATAAATTTACATAGTTCCGTTCTTATTATTAATTTTATGCGGTTAGAAGTATACACGAAACCTTGATTTGTTTGCTTAATCATTTTGATTAAGCTGCATTTACAAATTCAGCTAATCAAAATGCAAAATTATGAATGCATGGTATTTAATGAGCCCATAAAGTCTACGAAATATTAATGCGGCAAACATTAAATCTTTTTGAATCGCGGAAACTAGCAAATATACGTCTTTATAATTGAATATTCGCATAGTGTTTAAACACCTCCTTTACCCTTTAACATCACTATGTTAAGCATGTGATTAAAGTTGAATATGTATGCTGAGCAAACATGAAATTTTCATTCAAAATCTCACGTGCAACGTTCACAAATCTCCAAACTTCAATAACCGCACAATTTTTTAAATAATAGCATTATTATAAATTTTATCTTTACGAGAACTCAATTAATATAGCTAAATTAAGTAGAATATTTTATGGAATTTTAAGTAGTTCAATTTTTTCCGAGAAATTTGTCTATTAATTTAATCATTAATTAGACATACATCAATAATTTTATTATATGCAAAATTCCGAACTATTATTAAAAAATTGTACACTTTCACTAATTATAAACTCTTTCTTTTGCCTACATTTATTGCACATTCTTTTTCTTTTTCTGTCTCGTAAAGAGTGCACGTATAAATTCTTATTTTATAAGAAAACTCTTTATTTTAAAATTATATTAAAAAGTGAGTAATCATTACTCGTTATAAGAGGGATGTTCAGCAATATCACATTTTTTACTAGCTCCATCCGCGATTGTTACTCACAAGATTAATATCTAACGATTATAACATCCGGCATTTTCACAATTGATATTTGCCGACAAGTCACTAGCACCAATAGTCGCGACTGACTGCCGATCGACAAATCGAGCCGATTTCTACATCGGTCGTGTCTCGTGCGAGCGTGCCGACGATTTTTCTCCATTAGATCACACGCGTGGTTGTCGCGGCTACGCGGTGAATATATGCGCGATCCGATCGACGCACTTGATTACATCGTCCGGGATAAGATTGTGTTTTCCGAACCGCACTCGAAGATCATCGCGTGTCATATTTTGCCTCAGTCGTCGCGAAACCGGAACCGGCGATTGACCGCTTAATGCATCGTCAGCAAGTCAGGCTTCGACTGTCCGCAGTCACCTATTTCCTTGACCGCCGGTCGTCATGGTGACTCTAATTTAATAATCCATCATTTCCCGCTTCGTGTCGCACCTTCACCGGCTCGTCGGCTGCATCGATGAGTTTCGCTGCGGTTTCTGCGGTTTTTCTTTTTCTTTTCGTGTTTTAGAGATCAATCGCGTAATTGTTCATGAAATTCCTTTAACTTTTTGTTTGGAACGCACAACGAATCTCACATGAATTGCATTTACTTGTAAAAAAAACACACAATCACAATTTAATAAACTCAAATGCGGAAATGTTTATCTTTTGCCTGTGAAATAACATTACGCACGCATTTTGAAGAAAAAACACGACAGAAAGAAAGAGATATTTTTAACAAATTACGCGTAAAATGTAATAACATGTAATAAAACTTTGTCGAATAACTAGTCTAGATTGAATAAGCTCAGCTTAGCGATTTATTATCCTTTGCGGATTATAATTATCCCATACAATATAAAAAATTTGCAGGAATATTATAGAAATGTTTCATTGCAAGATTGCAACATTGTAAATATACTTTACAGTGTTATTGCAGAAAACTTGATGCTACTTACGTGTTCAGTTGATTAATACATTCAAACTTTTTCTTCCCTGAACTTGAATTTCTATTCTGAATTGGGACACGATTTACGGTTATTCATATTTCAAAGAGTCACCCAGCGCTCTTTATAAATAAACGTTATTTATTTTTATTAACGTCATTAGACGCGAGTACACAATAAACGTGAATTTTAAATGTGTGCGAGCACGATGATTCCCGTAGACTGTCACGAAATGACGTGTCGCGAGCTCACATTGATGATAACTCGCTGACCCGTGTATACCGTGATAATTTCATCCGCGTCAAGGATCGACTATTCGACATAAATCGCGCATCGTCACAATGTTGTCAAACAAACATAAGCAAAAGCTTGTAAGCGCGTATATATAAGTCGTGTAATTTCAATATGCGGTGGAATAATTCGTATCAATATTCTATACAGGGAAGTTTTAGAGATTTCCATAAAATTAAGAGAAAAGTTTAAAAAAAAAAAAATTGAATTGTTGTAAAAATGTTTTTAAGAAAGTTTTTTTATGTTTCTCTCCATGTTCGAGAACTATTTTTAATTGAAAAGCTTTTAATAATGTAAGAATGTGTTCTTTTATAATCAGTATGTTTTTAGAATATAATAATTACTTCCTGCTAAAGCATTCTTATTAAGTCGGAAATTATTTCTGGCCGATGCCGAGTGTGAATGTAAGAGATAAGATATTTCATGCAATTTGTTACTCAAAATTTGATATGAATATCATCATGAGTTATTACAATTATTATTATAATGTAAAAGTGTAATAATTAGTCAGGGTCACTTCGCTATCTTCCTTAAATTAATTAAAACACAAAGAAATACAGCATTTTCATACAGCAGTATTCTAAGTATAAAGCTTTTTACAGATTTTTAGTATTTATTCAAATAACACCGGTGTAAAAATTCCAATAATGGTATGTACATATGCTTGTTTACTCTCTAAATTTCTTGGAGTGAAAACGCACTCGAAAAATTGAGTGACTGGTCGTGTTCCTCGAGTTAGAGTGACTTTTCATTCATACGGAGTTAATTCTCTCTCTTTTTGTTGTACAGTGAATTTTTTACTCTGCAAAATAGAGTGATTATGTGTACTTTATTTTGTACAGTGAATATTTTCACTCTATGCAGTGTGGAGTGAATATTTTATTCACATGAAGAGTGAATGAAATGCGCGTAATTTTAAAACAAACGCTTTGCCGATGCCTTCATCCTATTCAACAGATCCGTCTCTGCTTTTTTTTATATTGATTTAATAATTTATGATAACTGTTGTCAAGGAAGGCGTCTTTTGTAATCGTCTCATTATCTCTTGTTCTCGTTTCATTGTTACACGTATTTGCAAAACATCGTGGATATAAATAAGAATATCTATAAAGAATACACGTAGATAGACGTATAAAAATGTCAATGTTTCTTCCAGAGGGAAATACTTATAAGAATTTATGTGTAGTTTATTTACTGATTTAATATATTATGTAAAGAATGGTGTTTAGGTTAAATTGTTTTTCTAGATTAGGTTACAGAAAGAGTAAATCGAGATCTTACAGCATGTGGTTCGCCGTGCTACGTAGCTTCGTCATAAATTCGATTTGCATATCGAGTCGGTTTGCATAAACAAGTAGTACAATGAGAAGTAACTTATATAATGATTTGTAGTTTATTAAATCGGCAAGTGCGTACCATGTGCTGCAAAATCTCGGTTATAGTTAAGTCTGTTGAAATAATATTAAATTTTTTTTTTTGTTAGAAGACGTTAAACAGTACTGAAAATACTTAAATAAATTTTTATTAAGCAGTGGAATTTCGGAAGACGCCGTCAATATTTTGAAAGATAAGATTTGCAAGCTTCTAGATGAGGGAGATATTTTATTTGAGAAATAATAAATTAATTATTTTTACAGATTATCTGATGATGATGAAGAAATAATAAATAACATAAAAATAACGTCTTAATAATGTGTTTATAATATATATTACTTTGTCAATTATAGTTAATAAATATTATTTTGTCTATTTCTTATTTATACATTATTTACTTTAAAAAAAAATATATTATTTTAGTTTCAGGTTCTGATTTCTCATCGCAGTCATCTTAATTGATTGACAACGTTAAAAGCGAGAAAATACATATTGAAAATTACAAAATACATTGAAACATAATGTCCATAAAATGATACTTGTGATTAGTTAAGAGATTGGTAAAGTGTATATTTTGAAAATTTTACTTTTGCTTTAATAATTAATAAATAGCCGTAAAATTAGCCTATTTTTTAAATGTCATTTCGTCATGTTAATTTTACAACTATTTATTTCTTATTATAGCAAAACGAAAATTTTTATAATAATACTTTATTAATCGGGTCACCATACAATCAAGTGCAAGTGACTTTTTAGGGATATATCTTTTTATTTTGTGAGGTATTTCGTAAAATTGTAAAATTTGTAAGCATATGTTTTTTCTTAATTTTAATGTTATATGTATCTATATATGGCCGCGACAAGAAAAAAGGAGACTTAATCAGCTTTTACACTAAGGTAACATGCTATATGTGCAACTTCGATTAGTTGAAATGAGAAGCAGTGTCATGAGAAGCAATGACACTGCTTCTCATTTCAACTAATCAAAGCTTTACGTCGTATGTAGCATGCTATCTCACTGTCAGTGTGAAAATCGGCTTAGAATTAAGACTTATTAAGAGTGAATCTGTTTACTCGTAACAATTGAGTGAAAAATTCGCTTGACGAAAGAATGAAGATTTCACTCTTTGATCGAGTGAATTAATCACGCCGGAACGAGTAATACATTACTCTAACATAGAGTAAAGTATTAAAAGTGATTGTTTAATTCTAACGTACAGTAATAGGGGAAGGTGGGGTAAGACGGACCGCGGGGTAAAATGGTCCATTTGCTAGATCTTATTAGTAAGTACCTCTATCTGCTGGATAAACATAAAATTAATTTCCTTTTTAATGCTTTTTAACTGTTTAAAAATTACCATTATATCATAAGACTATCGTAAGTTATTTATAAAGAAACGTCAAATTCTTGCAAATAGATCTCGTGATCTAATTTCTTAGTATTACATTTTAAGTGACTAAGATTGCAAAACTTAATATTTTTAAATTTTTCTACAAGTTCCATATTTCTGGTTATTGAGAAGTAATATTTCATCAGTTACATTTAAAAAATAATTTTGATACAGGTAAATAAAAATAAGATAATATTAATGTTGTCATGTAGGGTAAAATGGACCAATTTAAATGGGGTAAAACGGACCAATTTATATATTTGTTCTACTTATATTTTCTACTTATACTTTCTACTTATAGTTTTCTGCTTATATATTTGCTCTGATTTGAGAAATATTTTACATCTCATTTTTTTTTACTGAAAAAAGCTATAAAAAATAAAAAAACGCAACTGTTAAAAGTAGAAGAAACTTGAAACTTATTGAAAATAATGTCTCCAATAAAAACAGATTTTATAATAATTATTATTTATTTACATGCTTTATTTTAAAATGTTATATTTAATGTTATATTTAATATAACGTTAAAAATTATAAAGATTATAATTATTTTAAAGATTTGTGTGTATAATAAAATGATTAATGTTAAATTAATTTCTATTCTTATTCAAAAATATTTAATAAATACTATATAGTTTTGATTTTGAGTTGATCAGTTAAATTATTTCTTGATCCATATTATCTCGGCTTGGTCCATTTTACCCCATGGGATGGTCCATTTTACCCCATCTATGGGATAAAACGGACCAAAATTAAGTTTTTAAAAATCTTAATAATAATTCAAAACTTTTTGCAAATTTTGAAAATTTAACATTATAATCTTATAATAAACATTCTACAGTTTCTTCATGCTAAATTTCAGTTATTTTTTGTCATTAATATAAAAAATATAGCCATTTTTGCTTAGGGGGTCCGTCTTACCCCACCTTCCCCTACTTTACTCTACATTAGAGTTAAACAATCACTTTTCTGAAAAGTAAATTTTTACTCTTTACGAGTGGCAGTATTTTCACTATCGCTTGGAGTGAATATCCACCCGTTTGGAGTTAGATTTTACTCTAAAAAAAATTTGGAGAGTATATATATATATATATATAATAGTAATTAATTTATGCTTATCCTAGTTTATGCGTGGGGTGAATAATGCTATCCCCACAGTGCTAACAAAAATTAGCCCTTACCAACGAGGAGCGAAAAACTACATATGAAAACTACATATAAAGCGCTTACATATTATAACAAATTGATCGTATTTTTGCATACGAGATAATCATCATGTCAAACTCCATCTAGTATATAAAAGTTGAAATACACAAGCGTCGAATGTCACAATACACACTGCCGAATATATGTAGAAGCTGCTTGATCGCGCGACACAGTTTTGGCAATATATATATATATATATATATCTTGGATTATATGTCAACTTTCACACACTAGATGGAGTTAGACATATACAATTTCTCCGTATTTAAAAATTCCTATCAACTGATTATAATACACGAAATATCATCACGAAGAAAAAAAGTAGTTACAACACTGAATTTTTGGAGTGAGGACTTGTAAACAAGCCTCACGCATAAACTGGAACAAACATAACTTGCACTTAAGCTGTCGAATATATTATATATACTATTATGTATACTGTAATGTAAATCCTTTCTTTTAAATATTTGCACTTATCGCTACTTCAACTGCAATAATTTTTATCATAAGACAAATATATATTTGGTAGAAAAAGGAGAATTACTTAGATTTAAAACATTTTAATAAATATAAATCTAAATTGTAATAGTAATAATGTAATGATAATATAATTCAAAATAAAATTAAAATAATAATTTAAAAGTAATAAAAAAATGCAATGTGATATTCTTAATTTGAGAGTGCTTGAAATATT